CCAGTAGGAGATGGTGTGCACATTTCAATAAAGATCCTAGGTTCCTCTGAAGATGTCCGAAGAAGTATTCTAGTTTTGAAGTTACTGAGAGTTTTCTAGTTTTGATTTGCTGCAAAATTTACATTGACATTGTACAGTTTTTTTCCTTTCTAATGAAAACTAACATTTCACACCAAAACAAAACAGTACCATATAATAACTATTACAAGCGAACATCAATAATACAAATATCAATAATACACAAACAATGTAACAATATATAATTGATATTCCTATTTAACTCAGTCATATGCAAGGGACTCTTAACGAGTCATGCCCCCTTCAACCATGGGTGGAGTTGTTACCGGTGCAATTATAGTTCCTTGCCTCTCCATGTTCGCATGCCATCCTGCACATCCCAACACAAAATTCGTCAAATAACCCAATATGTAAGAAATTTAAGATTAACCATTTTTTAACAAGGTTTTATTTTGAAAGTCAACTGAGCATGATACATAAAAGTAGATTATTTACGCAAAATCTAAAGCTAATTTGGTATTCGTACCCATGTAATTTGGGCCCTTAAAAGTAGATGACCACTAGACAAATGTATTAGCTCTACATGCTGCCATACAATTTAGGACGCCAATCCTAAGAAGTCGAAATTTCCCAGAAATTTCCCACATTATTTTGTCTAAGATCTATGTCCTCAAGTTTTTCTCTTCAAACCGAAACAAACCAACTGAGAACTTGATGAACTTCAAAATTTGAAGAACATACCGATATTCATGTCGAAACCACGCCTCTTTAGCTCTCTATACTCTTGGCAAAGAGCGCAAGCCTCGCAACAACAATGAACAAGGCAATCATTGCAAGGGCTCTCGTGCAGCGAGTACTGGGCCCTCATCTTGGATCGGTAGAAACACGAGTATATGCACTGGCATCCAGTCAAGCATAATATCAACGTGTACAAAGCTCCGCTGGCTCCACATGCTACGACCAAAAAAAAAAAGAAAAAAGATAAAAAATTTAATGAATATTTTAATCTGTTGTGTTAGCACTTTCACTTTGAACCAAATTAATTAGGAAATCTGATTGATTATCGTGAAAATAAATTATAATAAGTTTTATAGAGAAGAACACACGCATTGGTATCTAATTAAACTAAATACAAACAAGTATTTTAAATCCATATAATATATTCCTATGTCACATCTCAATTTAATGGTGGAGACTGACACAATTTGAGGTAGTCTAGATAGTTCGGAGAAGAGAGAAAAACTTACAAGTAGATCCTTTGTCAATGATCTCCGCGATCTGGCCGAAGGTGATACATGGGCAAAAGCAAGTTATGCAGCCTGCAAGCATATAGGCAAGCACATACTGAGATTTTACAAATATGAGATTTTACAAAAATTTGAACTGCAGTGAAGGTAATAATTTTTTACAGTTGCCAGTGTCGTCGAAGCAGTCACATAGGCCAGTGGACCACTGCGCCGGTGGCGGCGGCTGAGATTGAACTCGGAATCCAGAGGCTTGTAACGATGGAGGGTACACGGGAACTCCCGCTGTTGGCTGAGGCTGAGGGATGTACGTGCCTTCAACTTTGCTATCGGGATACATCTTGAATGTTTGAGAGAGAGAGAGGGAGAGAGAGAGAGAGAGAGAGAGAGGGGCTGAATTGGCTGGAAGGAGAGAGCGGCAATTATAGATGTTCGTAGACGTCAGGTTGGACTAGTCTGGCGTTGACCGGTGAATGGTGTACGCCATTTCAATGGGCAGGGAAAACGGGAGTGCGGATCCGCTCATAACGGTCCCTATAGATTTCTTATGGGGAACCATACTCAATTGCCACGTGTCCACCTACTTTCGATGTCTTCACCTCGTCATAGTCCCCATTCCCAAGCCCATCAATTGACTCA